GAGGAAGGTCTGTTCTGTTCCCTCCAGACCAGGGAACAGGGTCCCACCCTGGGAACATGGCCTGCTGCTGCTGTAAAACTGCCGCCCCTCATGGAAAGGGGTAGGGCAAGGGCAAGTAAAAATGCTGTGAGGTTTTTCCACCGTCTTTTTTTTTTTTTTTTTTTAAGGATTGGCACCTGGTCTAACAACTGTTGCCAATTTTTTTTTTTTCTGCTTTATCTCCCCAAACCCCTCCTGTACACAGTTGTATATCTTAGTTGCATGTCCTTCTAGTTGTGGGATGTGGGACGCCACCTCAACGTGGCCTGACGAGCGGTGCCATGTCCGCACCCAGGATCCAAACCGGGGGCTGCTGCAGCGGAGCACGCAAACTTAACCACTCGGCCATGGGGCCGGCCCGTCTTTTTTTTTTTTTTGTAGGGAAGGATTCACCCAGAGCTAACATCTGTTGCCAATCTTCCTCTCTTTTTTTCCCTCCCCAAAGCCCCAGTACACGGATGTATATCCTAGTTGTAAGTCCTTCTAGTTCTTCTATGTGGGATGCCACCACAGCATGGCTACCGACAGCCGAGTGGTGTGGTTGCACACCCGGGCACCAAACCCGGGCCACTGAAAGGGTGAGAGCACTGAACTTTGACCACTAGGCCGTCAGGGCTGGCTGACCCACCATCTTTAGGTTGCCTTTTTCTTGTTTGCATGTTCGCTTTATTGCTGCAAACCTTTGACTGTTTTCCAGAGTTCTGACTAAGTTGGTTCTGACAGTTTCTGCTTGTTTTTTGATGTTTCTGGGGGGAGGATGAGAGCTTGGAGCTGCCTACTCTGTCATTTTGCTGACGTCATTGTGGGGGGTGAATTTCTCATCACCCGAAATATTTTCTCATTTTCTGTTATTCCTGACAAAGCTTTGACTGGATCCAGACCGTTTGCACCTGTTTGTTTTGAGGACAGTGTTGGAGGTTGGGGTGGCTTGCATGATTCTCAGTTCAAGAGCACCCTCTTTTCTCAGTGAGGCAAAGTGCAATTTCCTTAATGGCTGACGCTCTGGGCACTGTGGAGCGCCACTGTGCATGCTCCCACTTGTTTTCATTTGTTTTGGTCATTCTTTGTCTTACGTGACCCTGAACTTCCCTCTAGTTTTTTCCCTTCACTACCCAATCTCCAAATGGTTTTTCCTCGCTGCTTTTTATCCTCTGCTCCCTCAGAGGCAATGCTTTTTTGTGACTGCCACCTTGGGTCCTACACATCTTTCCTATAGCTGGTGCTCTGTTAGATCTGGCCAGTTTGTCAGTATTTTCATACTTATGGCAGATTTTCTCTTTCTAAGCATGATTTGAGCTTATCCTTAGGCTCTCTGCTCCCCTCTTCTGTTCGCTTGACTGTTTTTTCAGACCCTTCTCACACTCCAGAAAGGTTTACAGCAGTAGTTTGAAGGCAAGCTGAGCTGGAAATTGGTATTTGTGTTTTACTCGTAGGTAATTAGAAATTTGTAGTAGTCTCCATATTCTATTACAAGTTATAGTGCAGGTGTAGGTTACGTGTGGTTTTATTTGTTCTTCATGTTGGTCTGTATAGTCTTGGAGGATATGTGGCGAGATTTGGATTTACACAGATGCAGTTATTCTAGATTAACTAGAAACTCCTTAATTTTTTTAAAATAAAAAAACTTTTATTTAAAAAATTTTTTAAATAAAAACAAGATATAATTTGTATACAGTAAGACCCTCTTTAGCGTACAGTTCTGCAAGTTCTGACAAACTCGTACAGTAGGTGACCACGACCACAATGAAGATAGAACAGTTCTGTCGCCTCCCAATACTTCCCCTTTGTAGTCAGTCCCTTGCTGCACCCTGGGCCCTGGTGGTCACTGATATACTTTTGGTTTCTATAGTTTTGCCTTTCCCATAATGTCGTATAAATGGAATCATACAGTATGTAGCTTTTTGAATCTGGCTTCTTTGACTTAGCGTAATGCATCTGAGGTGCATCATGCTGTTGCCTGTATCATTCGTCCTTTCATTTTTATTGCTGAGTAGCATCACACTGTATGGATTCCAGTTTGTTTCTCTCTTCAGTGGTTGGACACCATTTGGGTTGTTTCCAGATTTGGGTGATTACAAATATAGCTGCTATATAAGTGTTCGTGTACAGATTTGGGGGTTTATATAAGTTTTCATTCCACTTGAGTAAATATACCTGTGAGTGGGATTGCAGGGTTGTATGGGAGTAGATGCTTAATTTCATAAGAAACTGGAAAACTGTTTTGCAAAGTGGCTGTGCCATTTTGCGTTGCTGCCTGTGATACATGAGAGTTGCAGTTGTCCCACACCCTCACCAGCAGGTTTTTTTCCCATTCTAATAGGTGTGTTGTGGTATCTCATTGTGGTTTTAATTTGCAGTTTCCTCATGGCTAATGATGTTGGGCATCTTTGTATGTGCTTATTTGCCATTTGTATATTTCCTTTGGTGAAGTATCTCTCTTTTACCTTTTTTTGTTTTTTAGTTTTCAGAGTTCTTTATATATTCTCAATACAACTTCTTTGCTGGATATGTGATTTGTAAATATTTTCTTCCATTCGTGGCTTTTTATTCTCTTAACAGTGTCTTTTGAATTTTGGTGTCACATCTAAGAAATATTTGGCTAACCTAAGGTTAAAAAGATTTTCTCTTAGGAATTTTATAGGTTTAGATTTTTTTTTAAAAGATTTTATTTTTTCCTTTTCCTCCCCAAAGCCCCCCGGTACATAGTTGTATATTCTTCGTTGTGGGTCCTTCTAGTTGTGGCATGTGGGATGCTGCCTCAGCGTGGTTTGATGAGCAGTGCCATGTCCGCACCCAGGATTCGAACCAACGAAACACTGGGCCACCTGCAGCGGAGCGCGCGAACCCAACTACTCGGCCACGGGGCCAACCCCTATAGGTTTAGATTTTACATTTAGGTCTGTGATCCAACTTGAGTTAATTTTTATATATTTTGGTGGTATGCGTTGAAGTTCTTTTTTTTTCCTGCATATGGCTATCCAATTGTTCCAGCACCATTTGTTGAAATTCAGAACTCCCATTTTCCATTGAATTGCCTTTGCACTTCTGTTGAAAATAATTTTTAAGTAGAAAGATATAAAGTACATTTAATTATAACATACATGAAGTGCAGTTTATAAGTGTACAGCTTGATGAATTACCACAAAGTGAATACACCCTGTAGCCACCCCAGGTCAACATCAGAACATAATTAAGACCTCCAAATGCCCACTGATGCCCTCTCCCAGTCAATACCACCCCTGAAGGTAATCACTCTCCTGACTTCTAACGTCATTGCAACGATTGGCCTTGCTGGTTCCCTTACTATGTATAGATAGAATCATGCAGTATGTACTCTTTTGATCTGGATTCTTTTACTCATCAGTACATCTGTGAGAATCATCTCTGTTGGATATGCAGTTGTAGTTCATTCATCTTCATCACCGCACAGTATTCCATTGAATGACTGTGCCACAATTTACCCATTGTGGTGTTGAGGGGCATTTGGATTTTTTCACCATTTACTATTAGAAATTGTTTTCTAGAGCACATGTGCATGATTTTCTCTAAGGTGTGTACCTAAGAGTAGAATTGCTGGGTCATAGTGTATGCAAATCATTAACTTCAGTAAATAATGCCCGAACTGTTTCCTCAAGCAGTTATACCAGTTTATATTCCTACTAGCAGTGTGTGAGAGTTCCCATTTCAGCACAATCTTATGGTATTTTGATCTGCTTAATTATAACTTTTCTGGTAGACGCATAGTGGTGTCCGCGTGTGGCTTAAATTTTCACTTACCTGAGTGGGTTGAGTAAGGGGGTTGAGTACATTTCAGTGGTTACCTGAATGCTAATGAGGTTAAGTGCATTCTCTTATGTTCATTGGTCATTTGGATTTTCTTTGTAGTGAAGTACCTCTTCACATCTCTTGTCTATTTTTCTCTGTTGTCTGTATATTTCTTATTGATTTGTACGGGTTATTTTATAGGTTCCAGATCAGATCCCTTTACCACTTGTGAATGTTGCAGATAATCTCCTCATCTATAGCTTGCCTTTTTACTGTTGTACTTTTTTTTTTCAAGATTGGCCCTGAGCTAGCATCTGTTGCCAATCTTTTTCTTTTTTTCGTCTTCTTCTCCCCAAAGCGCCCCCCAGTACATAGTTGTATATTCTAGTTGTAGGTCCTTCTGGTTCTGCTGTGTGGAATGCCGCCTCAGCATGGCTTGATGAGCTGTGCTAGGTCCGTGCCCAGGATCTGAACTGGCGAAACCCGAGGCCCCTGAAGCAGAGTGCACAAACTTAACCACTTGGCCATGGGGCTGGCCTCTCTTGTACTTTTAATCTTGTAACATTTATAAGTCTTTTCTTTTTGAGTAGTGCTTTTCACGTCTTGTTTTAGAATTCTTTCCGTACCCCAAGACTATGGAAACATTTTCCTATATTATATTCTAGACACTTTATTGTGTTACCTTTCTTTTTTTTCTCCCCAAAGCTCCACTACATAGTTGTATATCCTAGTTATAAGTCTTTTTTTAATGTGTGTGTATGTGTGTGTTACCTTTCACATTAGATTTATAATTTACCTGTAGCTGAGTTTTGTGTATGGTGAGAGTTAGGGGTTAAATATCATTTTTCCCATATAGATATCCAGTAACCCATCCACATTTATTTGAACCCATCCTCATCCTCTCCCCATGCTTTGCAATGCCAACTTTGTCATAACTCAGGTGTCCATACATATTTGGATTCTCTTTTTAGTTCTACTGGACTATTTGTCTATCCTTGTGCTAATACCACATTGTCTTACATATTCTATTACTTAATGGAATAGTTTTTCTGTTATGATTCGTGATTTCCCCACAAAGTAGGCATCCTGTGTTAAGTCATCATTGTGAACTGGGAACTCAATCAGAAGTTTCTCTACATTCCATCCTCATCACCCAGTGGTCAGCATTTTAGAATAAAAGGCATGTGCAATTACAGGGACTTCTGACATTTGAGGACGTCGCTGTGGATTTCACCCAGGAGGAGTGGCAGTACCTGAACCCTCCACAGAGGACCTTATACAGAGATGTGATGCTGGAGACCTATAGCAACGTGGTCTCCGTGGGTAAGAATGGCTCCCTCAGGTAATTGCGCTGTTTATTATTATTGTGTCTGATAGAGGGCCTTTCCTTTCTCAATTTCGGAACTCACAAGTTTCTGAACTGCTTAAAGAGTTTGACATTGAATTCCAGAGGTTAAAGTTCCTTTTCCCCCTTTGCTTTCCTGTCAGGGTGTTTGTGAGCTCAAAACCCAGGTGAAATGGTTTGACTTGCTACTGTGTCAAGTGATAGGTCCCTTGTGCTGTCCCAAACTCCCCCTTCCTCTTTCTCGGAGGCTCTGAAGACCAAGGAGGTATCACTGTCATTTCTCATTAGCAGGGCAGCAGGTTACCAAACCAGACCTCATCCTCAAATTGGAGGTGGAAGAGCCGTGCCCAGCAGAAGGAAAAATCCCAGTTTGGAGCTTTCCAGGTAAGTGGGATTGACCCAAGCTATGGGGACATGAGGTCCCAGCTTGTCAGTCAAGGCTGAGGGTCTCTGAAAGGGCTTTCAGGAGTATCTTGGAAAGGTCATGGCCCTTTGATGCTGTTGGAGGACAGGGACATGAACACCTCAGACATAAGGCTGACACCCTCTCCCCCGTCCCACATCTTCCAGACCATTCTCCTTAAGTGGTGCTCACCCACAAGTTTCTGCACAGCTCCTTTTCGCGGTATGTAAGTGTCATGTAAATGCCAATCCCCTTGTCCCCCAGCCCTGCCCCATTTCTCACTGCCATATCTGAAGCCAGGCTGCATTAGTCACAGGCCTAGACGCTAATGTTCTAAGTCTAGATTAGACTACCTGCTTCCATTTAGCTTAGATAGTCCCATCAGATTTGCTCTCCTAAAACATCTTATCTCTTTTTAAAAATAGCTTTATTGAGATATAATTCACATACCATACAATTCATTCTTTTGAAGTATACAAATTCAGTGATTTTTAGTATATTCACAGAGTTGTGCAACCATCACCACTATCTAATTCTAGAACATTATCATTACCCCTAAAAAGAGACCCCTATCCCTTATCAGTCACTCTCCATTCCCTCCTTCCTCCAGCCCCTGGCAGCCACTAGTCTACTTTCTGTGTCTGTGGATTTGCCCATTCTGGACATTTCATATAAATGAACCATACAAAATGTGGCCTTCTATGTCTGGTTTCTTTCACTTGGCATGTTTTCAAGGTTCATCCATATTGTAGGATGTATATAATTTTGGAACATACATAATTTTAGCATGTATATAATTTTATATAATTTTGTAGCATGGATATAATTTTGTTTATCCATTTTGTTAACACATTTTCTTTATCTGTTCATCTGTTGATAGACATTTAGTTTCTTTCCACTTTTTGGCTATTACAGATAATGCTGCTATGAACATTCATGTAGAAGTTTTTGTGGTGATGTATGTGTTCATTTCTTTTGAGTACATACATAGGAGTGGAATTGTTGGACCACGTTATAACTGTGTGTTTAACATTTTGTGGAACTGCTAAACTGTGTGAATATCCTGTTCCTCCAAAATTTTTACCCAGTAGCTTTTAACATTCACTGATGATTCTTGCCTGAATTAATTATTACTAAGATAGTTGGTAAAAATGGTAAATTTTCTATCATTCCTTCTACATTTGTAAGTTGGCGCTCTTCTGTAAAGAACTCTCCCTCGCCCTATCTGCATTAATTAATTAATTTTAGTATCAGCATAGGCACATAGGTTTTTATTTTTCAGTGTGTTATAATCCGTTCCTGTCTACTGTTGTTATTCATTTTGACGTTCAAATTGTCTTCAGTTTGCTAGTAGGAGTCCCTTCAGCTGACTCCTCTGTCTTTTGACATGTCCCCATCATTCTTTGAGCACTTTCTGGCGGGTTCACAGTGTACTTACTGCATTTCAGAGCTGGAATCAGCAGCTTCTCCCAGGATCCCCAGTCCCTTTAGTGAGGAATGGTGCTGGGAAATGAGGACTCGGTGCTGGGTGTGCTCGTAGCTACTCGGGTCCTTGTTTCTTAGAATCGACAGATGATTCCCCTCCATCTGTCTTTTTCCCCTTGTATTTTTTTTTAAAGATTTTATTTTTCCTTTTTCTCCCCAAAGCCCCCTGGTACATAGTTGTATAGTTTTAGTTGTGGGTCCTTCTAGTTGTGGCATGTGGGATGCCGCCTCAGCGTGGCTTGATTAGCAGTGCCATGTCCGCGCCCAGGATCCGAACCCGAGAAACCCTGGGCCACTGAAGCAGAGCACGCGAACTTAACCACTCAGCCACGGGGCCGGCCCCTCCCTTGTATTTTTTTAAGAAACTGAATCATGTCATTAGTTTTCTGCATTCTGGATTTAGCTCATAAGTACCCCATGGTGGTATCTGACATATTCCTCTGTCCCCTCTTTTTCTTGTAAATTGGTAGTTAGATCTCAAAGCTTCATCACATTTAGGGTTTTATTTTTTTCTTTTAGCAAGACCATTTCCTAGCTGGTGTAACATACTTCCATCAGGAGGCATTGTAATTCGTGGTTGTCTCTTTTTTCTATGTTATGAGTCATTGGTGAGCATTGCTTAGATCCATTAATTAATTAATGGTTGCAAAGTGGTGATATTCTAATTCTGTCATTCCTTCTTTGTTATTAGCTGGAATATTTCTATAAAGAGGGATTGCCCTCCATCTATTATTTGGTTAGATGTTAGTTACATATGAGTTACATATTGTACAGAATAGGTACATAGTAAACATATGAGTTATATATGTTTTTCCATTTATTTACCAGTTTTCAAAATAATGAGTTGGTTTTGTAGCATCATTCAAAGGTGACCAGTATGTCTTTTTTTGAGTATCGCTTATGGACTTATGACTTTAAACATTTTTCTGTTTTAATCCATTGCCTTATCCTTATTATGAATCACACTGCCCCATCTCTGGCCAGTGGAAACCTCTTCAAAGTGCTTCCTTAGTCTTTGGTAGCTTCTTTACTTTCTGGTGTTACAAGAGTTCCAGGCTCATTTTATATATTTCCTGTCTCTGACCTGGAATCAGCCATTTCTCTGAGGAGCCCTGGTTCTTTGTAGTGGTAAATACTGTTTTGAGACCACAATTTCGATATTAGGGAATTGTTTCTAGGCCTTTCCATTGACCGAGCTAGGAACTATATAAAAAAAGATTTTTAAGAGAAAATACATCATGTATTCAAATTGATATTTCCAAATCAAATTCTAGACCTAAAGATTGTTAATTTCCTAATCTTATATCTGATGGTAGTACTGTTAGTATTGTTCTGAGACCGCTGAATGTGTATAGTGGGTGGAATCAGTTGCAGTAATCACGTTGGTGCCGTTGAGAATCAAGACTTTTCAGCATGGTTGTTAGGACATACAGATGAAGGGGTATTTAATATTATTAGGGGATCCTTTTATATTGAATTTTACTTTATGATTATATGAAATATTTATAAAATATTTACTTGGTTCCAAAGTCAAATCTCGAAAACAACGTATATTCAAGAAGTCCAGCTTCATCCCCTGTCCATCCCACTCCCTTCCTCCCCCCAAAGGTAACCACTTATGAAAATTTAAAGGTTTATCCTTCCATTGTTTTTTACACTATGAGCCTATATAAATATATATCTCTATATTTGTTTCCTTCCTTAGAAAAATGTTAGCCTACTATGCATAGTTTTATTCATCTTCTTTTTTTCACTTAATATTCAAGGACATGGTAAACATATTGAGATATCCCTTATTTCTTTTTATAGTAGTGGCTCCTAATAATCATAATAGTAGTAGTAGTTGTTGTCATTGTTGTAGTAGTAGTAATGTAGTAATTGTTCTAGTAAACGTTTGAAAGTACTTGCTATGTGTCATGTATACCCTGTTATAAGTAAGTGGATCCCATTAATAAACATTTGGGTGGGCACTGTTATAATTCATGTTTTCCAGGTGGGAGAGTAAGATACAAAGAGGTTAGATTACCTGCCTAAGGTCGCAGAGCAAGTGAAAGGCTGAGGCAGGATTTGATCCTGGGCTAGAGAGCCCATGAGCCTAGCACGCCTGCTACGCTGCTTCTTACTACCCAACGAAGTCCAGATTCAGTAGGTCCTTGGTGGAGCTTGGGTCCCATCAAATGCATTTTGTAAAAGCTTTTCCTGTGACTCTGATTTTCACTCCTAGTTTAGAACTAGTGCTTTACTATCCAAAGAAAGGAAGTAATAAGAAGAGAAACCACAGATGCATGATCCATTTTAAAATTCAGTATTACTATTGTAAATGTTATCCTTATTAAATCTAAGTGGTAATATGAGTAGTTATTGTAGTCTTTTTTCAACTTTTCTGTATGGTTGAATATTGTCATATAAAATTTTAGGGAGAAGTGAGAAGAAGAGTAAACTACAAAAAAGGATAAAAATTCAGTATATGTGCAAAAAGTATTTACCATATTTTATGAACTTGAAGATACCGTGGATTTAAGACACACCACTAAGAAAGAAAAATTGCCACCAGTTAATTTTTGACATGTCATTGATTGTAAGGTGCATCTGGATTCAGATATGTTAAAATGTGGACTAATATACATCTTGCAATTGATGAAATATGGTATATTAAAGGCAACACTTTGCAATTTTAATTTTCTAAATGAGTGGTACAGATGACCAACTACTTTAGAAGTTAATAAAAGTTAGTTATAGAGCAAGAGCAGGGTAAACTTTTTTGAAAAGACTGAACTGCCTCTTGAAAGTTTTCTATATTCTGAATAGAGCAAAATGTGGAGGACTGGGGTATGTCGGTGGTGGAACATGCGGAAGGGTTTGGAGTTAATAAGAGACATAGTTTTCAGTGGAAATAGTGTAGACAGGTGCAGAAGGTGGTGTCGAAGAACTGTGAATGCAAGCTTAGATGGATAGAAAAGTGAATCCAGATTGGGCAAAGATCTTTAGGTTTTTCTTTGTTTTGTAAGACTAATTATTCTACATCTTTCTCTCATTTACTGAGAATGTGGATTCAGGATTCTTGTAAGATTTGAGTCCACAATTCACACAGTTGCATTTCTACCTAGGTGGAAATAGTATAAGTCAGGTACAGTTAAGAGTTCATATTATAAACGAAGGTAAGGGGTGATAAGGTCCTCAGAGTTGATGGAAATCAGAGATAATGCAGAAGTGGAGGTAAGAAAGACTGAGGCGTCAGGGTGAGATTGTTCTTGGTAACACAAAGGCTAGCAGGTGGGAGTTTAGTAAAAGAACAGGATTCGATGGTCAAGATTCTCTCTCCAGTAACTCTGATAAAATGAGATAATAGTAACAGCTTTCATATGGCATGGCATTTCTAAAGAAGGTCCATTCTATAATGTTAAAGTATAAAAATGGTTTACTGTACTTCTTTCTAGAAGAAGCCTGCCAAGTTGATGAACAGATTGAGAGACAGCACCAGGATGATGAAGATAAATGTATCTTGATGCAAGTTGGATTCCCTGATGAGAAAACAGTTACCACCAAGAGTGACCATGACTATAATGAATTTGGAAGCACACTTCACCTGAGTACAAACCTTGTCGTTTCAATACAAAGACCCCATAAATATGAGTCATTTGGAAATAATATGGTAGATAATTTAGACTTATTTAGTAGAAGCTCTGTAGGAAAGAAACATGATAATGGATGTGCAAAATTATTCTTCCATACTGAGTACGAGAAAACAACTCCTGGAGTGAAACCCTATGGATATAAAGAGTGTGGAAAGGCCCTCAGGCGAAAGAAAGGTCTTAGTCTACATCAGAGGATTAAAAATGGAGAGAAGCCCTTTGAATGTACTGCATGTAGGAAAACCTTTAGCAAGAAGTCACACCTCATTGTACATTGGAGAACTCATACGGGAGAGAAACCCTTTGGATGTACTGAATGTGGAAAAGCCTTTAGCCAAAAATCTCAGCTCATCATACACCTGAGAACTCATACAGGAGAGCGACCCTTTGAGTGTCCGGAATGTGGAAAAGCCTTCAGAGAAAAGTCAACTGTCATCATTCATTACAGGACTCACACAGGAGAGAAACCTTATGAATGTAATGAATGCGGAAAAGCCTTCACTCAGAAGTCAAACCTCATTGTCCATCAGAAAACGCACACAGGAGAGAAGACTTACGAATGCACTAAATGTGGGGAATCTTTCATACAGAAGCTTGATCTAATTATACATCATAGTACTCATACAGGGAAGAAACCCCATGAATGTAATGAGTGTAAGAAAACTTTCAGTGATAAGTCAACTCTCATTATACATCAAAGAACTCATACGGGAGAGAAACCTCATAAATGTGCTGAATGTGGGAAGTCTTTCAATGAGAAGTCAACCCTCATTGTGCATCAGAGAACTCATACAGGAGAGAAACCCTATGAATGTGATGTGTGTGGAAAAACTTTCACCCAAAAGTCAAACCTTGGTGTACATCAGAGAACTCATTCAGGAGAGAAACCTTTTGAATGTAATGAATGTGAGAAAGCGTTCTCTCAGAAATCCTATCTCATGCTACACCAGAGAGGTCATACAGGGGAGAAGCCCTATGAGTGCAATGAATGTGAAAAAGCATTTTCCCAGAAGTCATATCTCATTATACATCAAAGAACTCATACAGAAGAAAAACCCTATAAATGTAATGAATGTGGCAAAGCCTTCAGAGAAAAGTCAAAGCTCATTATACACCAGCGAATTCATACAGGAGAGAAACCCTATGAATGTCCTGTATGTTGGAAAGCTTTTAGCCAGAAGTCACAGCTCATAATACATCAGAGAACACACACAGGAGAGAAACCCTATGCATGCACTGAGTGTGGCAAAGCTTTCAGAGAAAAATCAACATTCACAGTACACCAGAGAACTCATACCGGAGAGAAACCCTATAAGTGTGCAGAATGTGGGAAAGCCTTTACCCAAAAATCAAACCTTATTGTACATCAGAGAACACATACAGGAAAGAAGGCCCATGGGAAAGGCCACACCCGAAAGTCAAAGCTCATTGCACACTAGAGAGTAAATCGACAGTGCCTGTTACATACACTGAAGGAAAGCTTTGTTGATTTAATTAACGTTTTAAAAGTATGTTCTGACTTCTGGTTTAAATATGGGGAGTAAAATCAGCCTTTTTTCTTTTCATCTCAGGCTTCACCCAAAAGCTACAGGGGGAAAAAGCAGCAGAAGTGTAATCTCTGACAAAATTAGAAGAGAGCTGAAACCCTGATGAGAGGGCTGCCAGAGGCAGAGGAACTCAAGTACCAGCACAGGAGACTCAGAACAGAGAGAACTCTCATGGCTGCAGATGTGAGACGGGACTGGGAAGGAGTCTTAGCTGGGGTTCAGGCTATACCCTGAGGGCAAGACTATACACATACACAACAGCAGTACCAGAGGGCATGGGCTGGTGGGAGGTAGGAGGTCTCCTGGACCCATTTGGGCTCTGAGAAGAGACAGGCAGGGGCTTCAACAAGGAATCACTCGGACAAGCCGTACTTGCAGAAAGTAGCTTGTGCTCACAGGAGGAGCAGTTGGCGGGGGCTAGGGCAAGAGAAGGGAGTGCTCCTTGTGAAGGACCCTACAGCTGCCCCTGTTTGCTGACATGGGAGATGTCAAGTTGAAACGACTACCAAATGGAAAAAAAAAATCCCAGTTGTAAGAAAAACTCTGATCTGCCCAGAATGCGGCCCCTGTTTCTTCTACCACATGAACCTCCAGAAAACATCAAGTCCAGAAAAAACTATTCAAAGTGGAATGATTCCAAAGTAATCAAAACCATGAATGCACATGGCTTGTGAGCCAGCAGTCCCCCTTCTAGGAATGTATATACTCATGCATGTACAGAATGACGAACACAGAGGTATTCACTGATCCACTGTTTATAAAAACAAAAGGTTGAAAGCTGTCCAAATGACACCACCAGAGATCTGGTTCCTGAAATCCTGGTACATTCATACAGCAAACTCCTAGGTAGACAAAAATGCATAAATATATAAAGAGAACTTGGACACCATTTGTGTAGTGATGTGGGATGGTCTCCAGCATACATTATTAGGCGAGAAAAGCAAGGTGCAGGATAATGAATATAATATGCTACCATTTGTATCTAAAAAGGAGAACCAATAGTAAGTACATAGTTGAGTGTATATGCACAAACTATCTGGGGAAGGATACACGAGAAGCTGGGAACCCTGAGTACCTCTGGGAAAGGGAAGGGGAAGTGGGTGGCTGGGAGGATGGAATTGGGAGGGAGACAATTGTATACCCTTTGATAACTTTTGAAAATGATAGTATGTGGATGTACTACCTTTTCAATAAATAAAACTTTTTAAAAAGCATATTTCTATCACTGTTATAATGAAGTCAGATTCTAGATACAGGATTTCATAATATTTAATGCAGATATGCTAAATGTGGAGTTTAAGTTTTTGGAGTGAATAAATTGAATAATCAGTCATAGAGAACAGTAGATAACCAATCAGTTCCAAAGGCACACAGGCATTACTTTCCTGAGGGTGCCAGAGAAACTGATTCTTGGCCTGGTGGCGTAGTGGTTAAGTTCATGTGCTCTGCTTCGACAGCCCAGGGTTTGCTGGTTCGGATCCAGGGTGCAGACCTAGCACTGCTCGTCAAGTCACGCTGTGGCGGCGTCCCACATAAAATAGAGGAAGATTGTCACAGATGTTAGCTTAGCAACAGTCTTCCTCAAGCAAAAAGAGGAAGATTAGCAACATATGTTAGCTTAGGGCCAGTCTTCCTCACAGAAAAATAAAGAAATAAAAAAATAAAGTGATTCTCCGGTCAGATGGGACCACATTATGCAAACCTAAAATAATTGAAACTGGAACACATTTCTTCTTTAGTATGCACAGTGAGAGCTATGAAAATATCCTGTACTAAAGGCCACCAAGGTCTTTCCATATCTTAACAAAATAATTTAAATTACTTCATTCATATGTGTGTGTGTATTCTTTTTACAAGAGAGAGAAAGCATGAATCCAGGGAGAAGTTGAGTAACTTACCCCCCAGGTCACACTACTGTTGGTGACAACATTTTCCAAAGTGAGAGATTGAGAGCCATGGTCTGAATGGACACAGCCAAAGACCACATAACACGTCTGCTCCAGAGCAAGAGGTCCAGCTGTGTGAATGACTGTGTTTGTGGCCCTCGTGCCTCTGTGGTTTTTCACTGGGCCATCTCTGTGGTGGAACTGGGCAGCTCAAGCTGTGTAAAACCTGGGCATGGTCAGTGTTTGGACTGAACAAAACAGGTGGGTGAGTCAGACCTGAGACCCTGCCTCTGCCCTCCTAGGCCTTATTTTTTCCCCTAAATTACCCTGCAAGATAATAAGCTGTGGGCTTACTTTTTTATGAGCTATGTAAGCCAGACATGTCACATTTAGTGTCTTTCCAGGGAGAAGGAAGCTCGGGGAAGAAATGTGGGGCTGACTTCCTTGCTCCTGGTGCAGTCTGCTGAGAGGATGCCCAAGGGCTAGAAGTGAAGCGTTTCATCTTCCTGCGATAAGGAATATTCCTGGGGTTTCAGGCCCATCAAAGGTCATCCTGAAGTGGGGTGAGGATGGGGGTCAGATCTTGCCATTTCAGGTTAATCTTGGACTCCTGCTTCCTGGACACAGATGCCAATCTGATGGGCCACATGTGGGTGAGTGGGACATGGACCTAGAGGGGAATAGTGGGGGTGTATGGCAGGATGTAGATAAATGAACTGGAGTGAACTAGGGGAAGAGGTGAGGGTAATGAAGGGCCAAGTGTGGGGGAACGGGGTAATAAGGGGCAGAGTAGAGGTGAATAGGGAAGAGTAGGGAGAAATGGGGGAAGTATCCAGTGGAGCGAGTTACTGGAGAAGAAACAGTTGAACGTCAGAAAATATGAGTAATGCTGGGGAGAGTGGGAGTGAGGAGAGTTTAAGAGAGTGGGTGTTGGAAATGTGGACAGAATGGAGTAAACTGGGAGTGATATGAGGCACAGTGGGAATAATGGTAAATGGGGCAGAGTAAAGAGCAGTCAGGCAAGTGGCAAAATGTGGCAGAGCATTAGCGAGTGCAGAGAGGAAGCGTAAGGGCCATCAATGTGGGGCAGACCGCTGGCACTGGAGAGTGACGAACGCTCTGTGTGGAACAGGGATCGGGCTGTTGGGTCTCGGGGTCTCAGCGATGCAGGATCTCGTGGTGGTGGCGATGAGTTGGTGAGGACTGAGTGAGTGGAGGAGGCAGGAGGTAGTCACTGGGTTTCTGCACAAAGAGGAGCTGCCCCAAGGACCCCGCGGTGACCATAGGTATACAGGATGAGACAGCTTGTGCTCGGGACACAGCGCTCAATGAACATCCCCTCTGTGTTCCATGTTCCTGTTGTCGTTATTTATATACACTCAGGGAGAGGTCCCACCACAAGTACGTCCCTGATACCTCCCCCAAATCAGCTCTGTTGTGCCTGTAGGCTGGCCCCAAGTCCTGCCCCCCATTATTTCTGCCAATTATGAGTCTTACTGCTTTAGCTAAAACCTCTAAAGTGATACTCATTATGATCCCTCTTCGACCTGTTCTCTAGGACCCTCAAGACTAGCCTGGGATCCCTAAGTTCAGCCCTGTGACCCTTGACTGGTCCTATAACCATCCAGATCAGTACTGAGACATCAATATTTTAACCACTTATGTTGTATTATTGTCTTATTTCTTTAGGAAAAATCTTCAAACTATGAATCTGATATGAAAAATTCCCTTGATATATTGATGGACTGCAATATACTACCAGGCAAGCTATTCCAGAGGTCTCAGAATAGAAAGGCTCACAGACCAAAATAAAATGCTCAAGTCATGTGGCTTATTAAATCAATTTAAAAACACAAAATATATTTTTAAAAAACCACCAAGATGCAAAGGGAAAGAGATGAGGTAAGTTAACACACTTAGGAGAGGGTGCAAACAGGCCGAAGGGCCCCATTTCTTGAATCCTTTGTTATGTAATGTTCGAACATCCTGTCTTCGTCTCTCTCCCTCTGTGTCTCTCTCTCTCTCTGTTGCATCAGCCTCATTGGTTACGAGGACCAGACTTGAGGTTTGAACAAGGGATTCAATCAGACTGAAGGTGCCCAGGACAATGACACACCCCACTTGCCTCAGCTATAGCTCACCAATTAGCCTCCTGCACAGTCACGGGTTTTATCTGTGGTCAATAGAACAATACTGAGTGTCACCAATTGGTGGCTGATTTGAATAAAATGTAGCTGATGGCTCAGGTGGTAAGATACCTTATGACTTGATCTTTGCATTCCTTTCTATGTTTAAGTAACACTCTTGTTTGTTCCTTCATATACTCCATTTATTCTATTTATTTTTAATGTATCCTACAAGCTGCTACCTTGTTGACTATATTTAACACACCTTATGAATTCTGCCTGTGTCTCAAAAGCTGCTTGCTTATTCATTATCTCTACTTCACACGTCTTGAGTTTTGCTCATATCTTAAGCTCCTAGCTTACTCACTATCTATGCTTAATGCTTCTGATGGGTTTCCTCCAACACATTTGTTTTCCTGTCCTCTAGAGCACAAGCAATAGAGAAGAATCAAAGGAAGTTCTTTGAAAAGATTAATAAAAGTGAGTAACCCTAGACTGATCAAGAAGAAAAAATACAAAATTTCAAATCAGGAATGACATAGTGGACTTTACCACAGATTCTATAAACATTAAAAGCATAATAAGGGAATTATGAAAAAACTTTATGCCAATAAAGTTGACAATTTAGTCAACGTAATTAATAAAGGAGAAAAATTACATAATCTACAGATGCAGAAAAAAGGGATCTCATAAAATTCAACACCCATTCATAATATAAATTCTTAGTAAACTAGGAATACGAGACAATTTCCTTAGTCTGATAAAGGGTGTATTAAAAAAAGACATAGTGAAACTTCATGGCGACATGGTAAAAGCTTTCCTCCTGAGATTAGGAATGAGACAAGGATGGCTGCTATGCCCACTTCTATTCAACACTGTACTGGAGGGTTTAGTGAAACAAAGCAAGGAAAAGAAGAGGAGTAATGACTGGAAAGGAATAAATAAATCTCTCAATCTCTGCAGATGATATGTGTACACAGAAAATCCAAAGGAATCTATAGATAAATTGTTAGAATAAGTGAATTTAGCAAGATTGTTAAATATAAGCTCAAATACAGAAGTTTTTCTTTGTACACACAACAAACAACTAGAAAACAAAGACACCATAGCTTCAATCTGGGGGAACAGAGAGAAACAACTGATGGGGCCATACAACAGAGATCCCTGAAAGAAGGAGTTCAAATGTGGCTGGAAGCCAATTGTAAAACACAGGGAGAAAACACCCTGAGGCTTCTCACAAGGATGAGAGAAGGGAATAAAAGAAACAAGTCACAAAGCTAAGGACAGATCTATAAATGTCTGAATACATAAGGAAAGGAACTGAAGACAACTGGACGAAGGGAAAATGAAAAGGCCAGGGAAAGGGAGAATGACCTAGAAGGGCTCATTCCAGCTGAAGGAGGCAGGGATCAGATCCTGAGGACAAAGAAGGCAGGCATAATTGTTCCTCAAAGCTAAGCAAAGAATGGGAGGAGATATGTGGAGAGGTCATTTACTCTGAGGAGCTCACATCCATGTCCTATAACCACCAGAGGCCTACCTCCTCTCCGTTAAGGAATACCAATGGCATGTCAAAGGAACTTCCCCCTCACCAGCTGGAATCTTCCATCCACCATCCCCAATCTTTCTAGTTCTCACTCGCCTATGCAACTTGAGATTTTTCTCTCTGCCATCCGAGGCTCTTCTTTCTCCAACGTGAAGATCACGTCTGGTTTGGTAACTTGACACCCTGTAAGAGGACATGAATCAGGATTTAAGGCACCTGCTTGGGCTAAGGGCCTCTGAAGACAGAGGAAGGGGCAGCTTCAGGGACTACACGATGAAGCTGCCCAATTATATCCTGGTGAAGTCTGGCCATTTCCTTTGGAAGGTGAGAGAACAAATACTTCCTTCAGCATCCAAAAGGGATGAGGAATCTTTCACCTCTGAACATTTTCAGCTCTTCAGAGGTAAGAAGATCCCATACATCTTTTCCTCATCACCCAGGGATGATGTTGGTTTGCAAGCTTGCCCCCATATATGGAGGGGAAGGAGAGACCAAAGAAAGAGGCAGACCACTCCAGATTGGTAGATGGCAGAGGTTTTTTTTAAGATTTTATTTTTCCTTCCCCCCCCCCAAAGCCCCCCAGTACATAGTTGTATATTCTAGTTGTAGGTCCTTCTAGTTATGGCAAGTGGGACGCCACCTCAGCGTGGCCTGATGA